GTCCCGTTCCATCTTGTAAAATGCTGGTTATAACCACTAAATTAATTTTACAACCCACTAATGGATTGCAACCGTTTGGAAAAAATAAACAAACAAAGAAACTTGATTGTCAGATGATTGCTAGGGGCCCCATATACCCACGACGGCCCCTGGCTTGATGACGCAGTCAGCAAATACATGACTTTGCATCGACCGCAAACACCACAACCTGCTCAGATGTGCAAATAGCCAGAGAGGTCATTCGGAAAGTTTAGCTCAGACCTTATATCACCTCCTCCCTGCTCCCCGACCCAGCATCATTCCCACTCCCCGCCCCTCCCCCGGCCCCTTTGCACTTACCCTGCAGTGCTCCCAGCACTCACCACGCATGCTTCACACTGTAAGGGCACCTTTCGTGTCTAATCTCTTACTTTTAGGTCATGGGCTTTTCAAAAGCTAGAAACATGTTTTATTTAACTTTGAACTCTAACCATTCCCCACCCATCCCTACCCTGGGCTTCTGGACTTGAGACAAGGTATGTAATAAATCCATGTCAGTGTTTGTGGAATGAATGAGGGGAGGGAGGAAGGAAGGAAGGAAGGAAGGAAGGAAGGCAGACAGACATAGGCCACACTGTGTGTACTTGGCCTGCGTATGGCTGAACAGTACCTCCTGTCGGCCCAGGATGCAAACACCCTCACCACTCCTGGTCATGGAACCACAGACTCAAGGCTCTGGAATCCACCAGAGATGTAACTGCCTCTGTGCCCTCCCCTGCCCCACCCCCAGGGGGCAGCCTCGAAGCCCCACTGGGGCATTTTCAGTGGCTGAAACACTCGTCCTTTTGAGGGAGTGGGGCCCAGTGGGGCAAGTGTGGGCTTCGGAGCCAGGCCGGCCTGAGAGCGAGCCCAGCTCCACCACACACCAGCTGTGGGGCCGTGGGCAAACCCCGCCCCTCTCCAGGCCTCACTCTTCTCATCCTAAAAATGGATCCAACGCCCCCCTTCCAGGGTGCCAAGAGGTTGAGTGTCTGGCCTCCATGCCCAGACAATAATGTTTCTCTTTCTCTGTTCCTTCCTTGCTTTTGGATGGCTCTGACCAAAGAGAGGAGTGTTTCCTTTTGCAGAGCTGGGAGGGAACGCTCATTGGTTGCGCTTCCACCTCTGCAGACTCTGGGCCTGTCTGCTCCTTTGTCCCCAGGGCATTTGGGGAGCCTTTCTCCAGGCTGAGCGGCAGCAACCTCTGCCTTCCCTCCCCCCAGCTCGGCACAATGCCGTACACAGTCACACTCAGCCAGATGGATGTCCCTGGCCTTGGGCCTGCCCCTGGGCCCCTGACCTCGAAGTGGACTGCAGCCCCTCATCTGGTTAACCAGTAGCCAAAGCGGCTGCCCACACCTGGCCCTGTGACCAGTCTCATGCTTCTGTACTGCAGGAAGGGTGGCGCAAAGCACTGCACCTGGGCCCAGAATGGCCCAGCTGCCCTCCCCAGTTGCTGGCCTCCTTGGAAGCCCTCATGTGAACAGGCCTGAGCAGGAAAAGCTGCTTCGAGTCCATCCAGCCCTCCTGCTAAGTGCTGTGTTGAGCTCAGAGGACCCATGGGTTTCAGTTTAGTCACTTCTGGATTGAGGGGATGGTCTGCTTGGGACACAGTCCACTGTCATGGCAGCCAGTCCACTGTCTGGTCCTGCCTTTTCTCTGACCTGTGTCCCCCACTGGATGGGGAGCTCCTTGAAAGCAGGGACCCTTCTCGCTCAGCTCTGGGTGCTCAGCTCCTGGCCCAACCTCTGGCAACAGTAGGTGCTCACTGATGTTTCCTAACATCCTTCGAGGGCCTGCTCTGTGCCAAGCTATGTTTTAAAGAATGTATGTTGGCCGGGCGCGGTGGCTCACGCCTGTAATCCTAGCACTCTGGGAGGCCGAGGCAGCTGAATTGTTTGAGCTCAGAAGTTCGAAACCAGCCTGAGCAAGAGCGAGACCCCGTCTCTATTAAAAACAGAAAGAAATTAATCGGACAACTAAAAAACTATATAGAAAAAATTAGCCGGGCATGGTGGCGCATGCCTGTAGTCCCAGCTACTCGGGAGGCTGAGGCAGTAGGATCGCTT